CTCTGTTTTTATTGTATTGAATACTAATGTTTTTTCCACATTCCACTTGTGTGTTAATGTTGCTCCCACATATAGCTGTCACAATCTTTCACATTAAATGTTAATGTTGTGCCCACATATAATCACAGATATTTCACTCTTCATACATTGAATATTAATGTTTTCCCACACATATAGTTTACAGATATCTTACTCATCAAATATTAGTGTATTAACCACATATAATGAACTTGGGTCATTAGTATTACCTGGAGAGTTTTTTTTTTTTTTCAGACGGGCATAAATATTCATAATACTCACAATAAATCTTTAATATGTATGTTGGTGTATACTTCTGGGAGGAGAGAAATAGTATAACAAACATTACCTAAATCTACCCGGTTTTAAGATAGTATTGTATATTACATACTCCAAGTATCGATTTGTACGCCATCGTGTCTTTGGGTCGTAATTGTACTTGCTTATAATATTCATTAAAAAGGTTAATACCAACATGTCCTGATTATAGGTTTTCATATATTATAGGGGGAATGAATGTCACAAGTGGAAACCCATTTACTCAGCTTCTGCTTGGTGGGATGCGTCATGGAAGTGTGCCCGTGGGCGCTTCAAGGCCTACGACATCCAGTGGACAGAGCACAGGCAGTAGGCCAGCTGCCCCAGGAACACAGAATGAGGGTCTCTTTGTTGACTTAGTACAAGGAATCTCACAGCATGTTGCATTGGCATTAAGTGGTCAGAACTCAACGATGACGATTCACCAGTTTCTTAGTGGCCTTGATCCTACCTATAGTAACCATGCAGTTGAAGGTATGTAAGAATTATGTAGTTGTGGTACAGTGATGACCTTTCAACTCTAGGGTCGAATGTGTTTAGCCTATGACTAAAATTAAAATCTGTCCTAAAGACGGGATACTGTAATACCAATATACACAACTGTTTCAGTTGTTTGCTTGTGTGTATTAATAAAATAATAATAGTTGTAATTTGGTATACATGATTTGGTATATAATAACAGGACCTACTTAATAATAATTTCCTATGTTAATAGCAGTTGTGTACCCAGGTTTGTGTACCCAGGTTGGAGACCTCAGGTTTACAGTACACCCTGTGCACAATTAATAAAACTTATTCCTGCTATTTTGTGTTCTGCCGAAGGTTTCTTCTATGAGGCTTTTGATTACTTTGCAAGACACTTCACAATGACGGATCTATCGCATCTCATATTTGGACATTCTGAACCACTTCAGCAGAATCGACAGAGTCTGCGCAGATTTGTCAATGAGAAGGTCTTAAGAGGAAGGCAGCCAAGTGAAGAAAATATAGCAGTAAGAACTCATTATTTTTTTAAATCAATGTCTTTGCGGCCTTGAAATTAAAAATGTGTGACATAAGTTCGCAACTAAGTTTAACTTATAAATAATAATAATAAAAAATAATATTAATAATAATAATAATAATAGTTGGATTTATAAAGAGCTTTACACCAGAGTCAACTAGGTTTAACTTATAAATAATAATAATAATAATAATAATGATAATGATAATGATAACAATTGGATTTATAAAGAGCTTTACACCAGAGTCTCAAAGCGTGGACAAGCTCGTACAGTAACATTTTTCTCTCCTAAAAGTCTCTTCGTGTCTAATACTATGGCCGTAGGTTGCAGCTCCCTGCATTAACCGCTTGACCATTCGACTCGCCTTATGATATCTTCAGATGACATGTAGCATAGCCAAATCAGTTGGAGTTTGCTGAAACTTTGTCACTCTTTACAATACACAGTATTGATATTCACCAACTTGCACCTCTACTTCACTTTACTGTTAGAATATTTAACAGCATGTGTACTTTTTGCAGTTGTCAGTGAATGAGATTGCTGAAGAGATAATAAACCAACTTGAAGAAGATGCCCCAGAGATTACAAGTGTCCGAGACGGAGTTGCAATTAAGGCTACTAACCTCAAGTTTGTTCAGAGCGCCCTTTTGCGAATTGTCAAATATATTCTGGAAGATCGTGAGTCTCTCTTGATTATTTTTTTTTTTAAATTGTTGCATAATAATTATTTTATTATTGTTTTTACATTGCTATTATTGATCTTGATCGGCATGATTATTATGTTTTCCATTGTTGTTTTCGTCATAATATATAAGTTCATTTCTGCTTACGAGAGTACATTGAACGTGTGCATTTGGACTGTCTACTGTATTTGATATGTAACTAGCGGTGATTACTGTACTATAAAGAAAACTATAAAGTTTATTTCTTTCATAGATGATCCTACATTTGGTGTTAGTCTACGCAACATGATTCGTGACAGCCTTCAAGAGTGGATTGTTCTAAATATATACTGTATGAATGGAAGACAGCCTGTGCAAGACACAATGGTAGCATGTATGGTATGAACTCTTCCCTTGGTTTACCAATCAATCAATCTATCTATCTATTGGTTTTTTTCTTTTTATTTATAATTTTAACTGAGCAACCGAAACCTCAATCGAACTGCTGCAGGCATTGTGAGGAAACATCTAGTCCTTTGCATATACTACTAAGTTAAAACATGTATAATGAGGTTCAGGCATCTAGCAATGCCGATCATATATGACCTTAGGGTCAAGAAAGCTTGAGGACTGTCAGTCATCAATAAGCCATCATTTAACAATTAACACATCCATAAAACATTGGTCAAACGATGAAAACATCAGACAATTAGTCTGACCTCTGTATCTCATTCCTCCTCAGCAAACCTGGATGGGACAGATCAATTCTGCATTCAGTAACATGATGATAACAGTTACATCCCAGAACTTCAACCAAATTGCTAGCAATCTAACAATCACAGAGGCAGACATTCTTCAGTATGTTGTAAGAACAGAGACGCAGCAGGATATAGGTATTACCTCACACTTCTGTTTTAAATTAACAATAAATAATCTTTATTGATTTCAGGAAAAACATTTCCCATTCAGATTTTTTTATACGGAATTTAAATTACAGTTAAGCGTCTATCTTACGTACACGTTGGTACCAAGGGTATTCATAAATTGAAAAAATTGTAAAACTAGATCAGGGACCAATTTTCACTACTTTAGCCATCTTCTTCCGATTCTAACCATAGGGCCAATGTGGCTAGGCTTAAGAAATATAGGGATGTTCACGCAAGAACTGATGCTGCCACAGCAAGGCTACGACACTAGCTTAGCTGAATTTTTCTTAGATAAAAACCCAAAATGCAGCGAGTGGTGGTTGGGGATTGGGGTGGTTTGGTGTCTGAGAAATTTGTTCAGAAGTATTTGACCATGGTACATGGAAATCAAAATAGAAATTTGCTCTTTTTAGAGTACTGGCCATACTCCTGTCTCTTATACACATCTAGATGTGTATAAGAGGTTGTGATGTGCATAGAAAAATTTCAAAAAAAGAAAAAAAGTTAAAGTTATAAATCTTTAGGATTGTGCCTCTTTGTGGTGTTGGTAACAATATAGTTGCTGACATTTTGTCATTTTGTATTTGAATGAGACCATTTTAAATGTTCTAGGAGAAGAATCAGAACCTGTCCCAACTTCTACATCAACATCTGCCAGCAATAATGTAGAAAACAGAAATGTTGAAAGCAGCACAGTCAAACGCCAAATGCCTGAGGTAAGATAAAGTAGTATACATCCCTGGTTCTCAATTTATTTTTTTTTGAAGGACTAAATTATTTTTAGAGTTGATCTCACCGTCTAAAGATAATCTCCGGAATAATTATCTGGATTGAACTCTTTCTGCTAAGATTGGTCTATTTGAAAGGTTCATTGGATATTATAAATTATACTTTTAATTCTACTGCACCGGTGGTCGAGTTGGGTCATCAGTTTAACAGTTGTTAGTCAAGTTTGGTGGGTCACTTTACAAAAAAAGAAAATAAATTAAAAACACCTAAACTGATGTTTACACATTAGTTTAGGTGATTTAATACCAGTCAAGACACTCCATTATACAGATTAGTGTTACAGTGGTATTATTTATTGTTTTTATAGTACAAATTCCCAAAATTTACAGCATTCATTTTGAAATGAAGCTCCCATCTTTACTTTGCAAAAGTAGCCTTGAAAAGTAGCTCATCTCAAGAAGGAGCCCATCTCAAAAGGAACCCATCCAAAGTTCGCAAAAAAAAAAAAAAGGCGAGGGCTTCAATTCAAAGTTTTACGTATAACACATTAATGTATTACTATTATTATTACTATTACTTGACCTTAGCTGACATTTAAAACTATTAGTTTTCAGTATTTTAATATTTACCATGTAATATTTCAGGCTATGGAAGTTGATTCCTGTAACAGTCAGCAGTCACATGCATCTTCTACTCCAGTGGTGTCCTCGACAGTCCCAGCAGCAGCAGAAGCAGCTCCTGAGCAAGAGAGGGTGCCACTGAGGGCATCCAGTAGGATGCATTCTAACGGAGTTGGAAGCACTGACACAGTTCTTTTGGGAACTGAAAGTTGGCATGCAGCAGTACCAGCAGTGAGTTCTGTAGCTTGACTATTTTTTTTTTTTTTTTTTTTTTGATTAAAAAAACATTTAGTTGCATTGAATTGTGATTAAAAGTATCATTTCTTTGTACAGCGTTAAGATTTATTGATTTGTTGTACTCTAAGAGTTACGTCATGTTACATGCGCAATTGAATGTTCCCTCAACCTAAACAAGAAATTTGTACATACAGTAGGTGCGTGGGTTGTGAAAATGACAGTTTTCCATCAAGATGCTGACAGTGCAAAAAGTTGACTGTAGGAAAATTAGAATTTCTAACTACCGTACATACAAATTATAGGATGGAGGTAACGGTGGGCGGCGCCAGCAGGGGGACGGGTCCCCTGACACCCGACAAGTACCCCCCCCCACCCCTTTCAGACAGAGCTCGTTGGGCAGTCAGCCCATAAAACATATAAAAATAGGCCCACACCAAGCCAATACATGTCTGTCACCGTCAGAGAGGGCCATTTCCCTCCATCCAGAGGTTGCTATTCTTGAAAAATTCTCTTCCCCCAGCTCGCTCCTACGAGCTCAAGTCCCCCTGTTGGTTAACTTAGCCCCCCCAGAAAATATATCCTAGAGCCCCATTGCCTGGTAATGGAGGCTTTTTTAGATTAATAGTATTAAAAATCTTTAATAAATAACAACAGCGACGGCAGCAGCAGATAGCAGATACTGCTGAAAGCCTAATAATAATCATAATAATAATGATGATGGTGATGATAATTTTGTAAAAATACTACAGGACAATTGCTATGATTTTTAATTGGAATAGCTTGAATATATAATTTAATTAGTAAAAATAATCTTACTATACCACGAAAAGAACTATTGTATATTAATATACAAATAATTATAACAGTTTAGAATTATACTAATTCACTATAATGAATAAAAATACTATATCAGTGGTTAATTAATTTCTCATTTTTTGAATATCCAGGATTGGGTTCCAGTGATAGAACGTGATATCAACAGACAACGACGTCAGGCCCCTCCAGCGCCCCTAAGTGACGCTTATCTCAGCACCTTACCACCGAAACGTATAAAAGTAATATGCTCTATCTTAATTTATTTTACATATGTAATGCATAATCTTTAAGGTCTGTAGTGTAAAGATGTTGTTATGAGAACATTTTAGGCATTTATTTGGGATTGAAAACAATCACCCTGTAGCAGCTGTGCTTTTGGATCGCTGCTGCTGCGCATTTTTGTTGCGTGTTGAACCTTAATTTTGTCATGCACATTCGCACTTCAGACTCATTTGCGAAATTACTGACAAAAAATACAGTTTTCTATAGCTTTTTCAAAGCAGACACATTATTAATTTCAAATACGTGGGTCATATATTTCGACATGGCTTTATGCTTTTTAGAAGGAAATAATTTCAAAGCCAACTATATTGATTGATAGAAAAATTAAAGCCGCCTCCTTGCAGGCTTAAAAAATATAGCCAGTTGCTGATTAGGCTGTGGTATAGCAATAGTCTAAAACTAAGTTCTGCATACTGTGGGTTACAACCCACCAATGAGTGGCAAAAATATTTTGGTGGGTCATGAAGCCTAAAAAAAAACATGAGCTCTAGTTATCCTATACCATAAAAAATATCCACATTAATTTACATGGAAATTTGCGTTATTTTGTGAAAATACTCAGTGTAATGTTAAACTTGTTGTATAACATAATATTTTATTATGTTATACAACAAGTTTAGCACTGAGTATTTTTACAGAATACTCAGTATTAAACTTGTTGTATAACATAATATTTTATTAATAATCAATTTAAATTTAATGACATATTACGGTAAAATTAACAACTATATAGTAAAACCAGATCGGATAAAATACATTGACATGAAAAGCGTGTTGCCTAACTTAAGTGCAGTATACAGTAGATCTACTCTTCCAGACTTGTGCATTCACTCAATCATCACAAAACTTTAAATTATTATACTTTTATGTAAATATTTCTCTATTGCATCATTTCCCATAACATTCTTCAATTAAATCGACTTTAATCCATTAGGAATCTAGGTGTTAGAGTAGTCGCTATCTTCAAACAGCACATTGGTAATGTTTGCAATTCCACCTGTTACATTCAAAATATATATTCTTGTATAAAACATCTTTTCAATATGCTTAAAACAAGAAAATTGCATATTGTAGTTTCATCCATACAGTTCCTTATCTTGACCTTTTTTGTATTGCATCCATTGTAGCTAATGCCGGACAAAAAAGCATGCATTGAAATTGGTACAAGTACATTCCTTGAAGACAGTTTATCCAGAGCTGTGAGTAGTGCAGGTGTTCAACCTACCACAAGTCTGGCTGCCCTCATGCAAGATGTTCGTGAAGATGAAGACCTGCAGGCTGCGTGTGAAGGCCAGTTAAAGAGCGCCCTCAAACAGCGAATACAAAAAGATCCGGATTATGATAGTGCAAGATTTCCAAATACTGAGAAATATTTGCACAAGTAGAAATTCAGGCCTAATATGTAGCCTTCCACCCCTCCCCCATTGTATTTTTTTTTAAATTTTAATATCACCATGGGCTCAGTATCATGACCCATAATTATTTATATTGTAATTGTACAATTTTATTTTAAACAAGTATTCAAGATGTTTAAAATGGTTAGGTTCTATGAGAAAATGTCTATTATCGATAACATATTAGGAAATTATTATAAACTTATACTAAACGCTAAAAGAAATTAGAAGTTTTTTTTTAAATTTAATTATTGACATGGGAGATATTATAAGTGAGTATACAATCACTTTGTAGTGTGTATGTTTCTCAAATTCCCAGTAATCAGATAGCTATAAACAGTATACACTAGATTTTGCATTTTATCATGTTAGTCAGCTGTAGTATTTAGATATACACACAATTCTATGTGCTGCTTAGCCAACCATGGGATACAGAAGTGAGGATGTTTATTTTTCAATATCAGTAAGATGAGGCCTAAAAAAAAAAACTTGTTTGTTTTGCTGTCATCCGCCGCCCCTAAAATCTCGAAAATCAGGGGCAGGTTTTTTTTTTCCCAAAAAAGTTTTTTTTTTCTTTAAGTTTAAAAGATCAAATGAAAACCACTTTTTCGTCGATTTTGGCACAGGTCCATGTTAAATGGAAGTTTTTACTATTTTAATTTTTTTTTTTAAGCAAAAAAATCGCACTGTTTTCACGATGTTTCTATGATTTTACAAAAAAAAAAAAAAAAAAAACTTTTTTCCACCTGCCCCTGTATTTAAATTTTTACAATGTGACAGGAAACAAACAATTTTTTTTTTAGGCCTGATCAGTGCAGCCTTGAACTGAAAATTTAAAATTTTACTTAGGCTGGGTCGTGGGTTGGCGCATTGTAGTAGCTACAGTAATACTGTACATGTATTAAATTCACTTTACAATTATACTCACTTAAATGTTAAAATGTATAAACCTATATCTTTTACTTAAATAATCAGAATAAATTGTTGCTTTACTGCATTTTGTAGTTATATTTAATATAAACTTGTAAGTCATTTAATAATATTTTCTTTGGGGAGTGGTGTTGTTTGGATTTGAGCGTGAATATATTCTTCAGAGGCAGTAGAAACAAGCTCATCTTGGCTTTGTCGTGTCGATGAATACTTTAGTGATGCAATTTACAATAAGTTTTAGCTTAATAAATCAATGGCAGTCTTGAGTAAACTTTTTAGTTGTGTGTAACATATTTTGACCCACTGACATACCAAAATACAATACAATTACAATATTTATTTTCAATAAACATAAATAAATAAATCTTATTGCACAATAATTTCAAATCAATTTTTTGTGGTTGGATTTTGTCGTTCTCACATTTTATCAAAATAACCTTTAAAATGTATACATGAAGAGATTTTTCGCCCTCTATTAAACATTGCTTGTGTCATTGATATTGCCACTACTAGGGTACAGTAGGTCCAATGAAAAAAAAATATTAAAGATGCAAATTAAATTTAATTAAATTACCTACATGATTAATCTTCCAAGTTCAAATTTTCTCTATTGTGTTCTATACAACATAGAGCGGTATACAACAAAAATGGTAGCTGGAAATGAAGTAGAAAACTGAAAAAAAAAAAAAAAAAAAAAAAAAAAAAAAAGCCAACAAGGCATAAAAAAAAAAATACAAGAGAAAACAAAAACTTAACAATGTGTTTGAGGTGGGTGTGTTCAGGCTGCTACAGAAGAATACAACAAACAGCGCCGGATTAAAGGGCCGTGGGGCCTGGGGCTGTAATTGCAAGTGGGCCTAAATACAGTACCCTGGCTAAAACATAAAACCAGATTTTCGGTGATTTTTCCTGGGGTTGGGGGCCTATTTTTCCCCTTTGCTTCCTGTAGGCCTGGATCTGGCGTAATAACATAATAATAATAATAATAATGGAGAGATCTCAATAAACCATAGGTGCACATCATAGCGAAATGATGCGCTTTTTAGTTTAGTAGGGTTATGGAAGTATTATAATGAACACCATTATGAAAATGCTGTCAGACGAGACAGCCGTTTGGCTATTATAGGCTGTCGTGGTGATGGAATTAATGTAGGCCTACTGGTTTCAAATTGTTTTTCAAAATGTGTACACATATTTTGTCGAAAATAATGTAGTTATCACACATTTAGCATCGTTTTTTGGACCGTTGTTCATGGTGTCCACTTGTAGGCAAAATTGATTAGGAACAGTTATCCTCTGCGAATACAATTATAAAATTAATAAATTTGTATTATTTAACAATATTTAAAGTAGGCCTTTACTTGTAAATCGATGAACACTATAATACGATATGGAGGTAAATTCGGAGACAGTATTTTTAGAGAATATTTTTATTGAATACCGTATGTGAGGAGTCACTGTTCATTCTTTGATCCCCAAGATTTAATGAATATTTTTTTTTTCTGTAATAAAACTTAAAAGGGAATCTTAAATCTGTAAATATTAATATCCAGTAATCTATCAAAAACCAAAGCTGCAATCCAACTGGCTCTTCCCGTTGAAACCGTCAGGGGTTCGAGAGGCGACCACAATACTATAGTCGTCCAAATGGCAATGTGATACAATGCATTTCCACAAAAGCGATTGTGTGTCCTATTTTCGCAGCCATTATTAATACTAATAAAATTGATATTTGTGGTAATACCGTGAAGCCCCCCCCCCCCTTTTTTTTTTTGCGCGCGAATTTTAGATGGGCTTTTTTTCGAGGCTACTTTTGCAAGGTAAAGATGGGGGCTTCTTTTCAAAATTAGTGCTGTAAGTTTTGTGAATTTGTACAATAAAACAATAAACAGTAACTTCAATCTATGTCTGTATCATGGAGTGTATTTAACTGACATTAAATCACCTAAACTCCTGTATGAACAAGCTTGTTTTAATTTATTTAAAGTTTTTGAAATTGATGTACAGTGAATATAATTAATATCTCGAAAAGAAGCCCAAAACCTCAAAGCTAATTTTGCAAATTAAAGAGGGAGCTTCATTTCGAGATGGGCTTCATCTCGAGATTAAGCCCAGTGGGCTTCAACTCGAGGTTTTACGGTACATCAGCAGATTCTATTTTGGTTTCTTCCATCAGAGCTCTGTGCGCCAATGGTCGCGAAGACGTAACTTTTGGTCATGTCGTTTATAATTTCCATAGGCCAACTGTATTCTTTATTTGAAACATCTCTTCAGAAATACTGTCTTGTCGTTAACTTTCAAATAGTAAGAGCATGAGGGCGTATCATCACATCCTATACGAGAGTGAAAAGGAATTGAATGCAGGCGGACTCAAATTTACTGAGTGGTGCAATTGTCTAATGCGTCTAAATCCGGTAGGTGTGATTTCTTCACTCTTGCATACTTTAAGTTTGTACGAATTTGGTATCTTTTCGAAGATACTATCTTGTAGTTTAATGTTTATGACGAGGCTATCAAAATTATTTCTGTATCACATTTTCGCCGCACTGTCAAATAATATTATTTTATCTATTTGTTTATATACAGTATTATATATAAAATAGTATTTAGAGCAAAATCAAACAGAAGAAAAAAAAAGCAAAAAACAAAACAAAAAACAAAAACAATTCCATATGCATTTATTGTTATCAACTAATTGTTTCGTATGGACAGATGTCAAAAGCTGCCCATACTCATCAGGTACAAATACAATGTATGGTTTGAGTTTACCTCTATTATATCATGATTTATTTACAGCAAACAAAATATCTCTACGGAGATCCTGTCTCGACATCAAATACTTATACACAGAAATTCTCCGCTTGATAGTAAAGTTAAACTTTAATTATTACGTTATGGAAGACAAGATGTCCTACTTCACTTTAACTAAATATACTCTTAATGAGTACAGACGTTCTGTAGTGTACCATTTTAAATGTCTCGGTTGTAACCATAATTATATTGGTAAAACAGATAGATGTTTTATTACACGCTACTTTATCCAGCAGTAGTCCATGATGATGTTCAAACCTGTGATAATTTCATTACATTTTAAGACTCCATTTCCCTAACACACACTTAATAATGACTCTATAAACTATAAATCCTTCATTTACTCTAATACTAAAATAATTCATAGTTTTTCTAATTGGTCCCACTTGTTATTTTAAAGAAGCGCTTGCTATTCACCGGCTTTAAAGCCTCTAACTGTCGTCTGAGATTTCAGAGAAAAACTGTTTTACACTGTATTTATTTTTTATTACACCCTTATTGGCATGACGCCCATGCACCACGTGCGGCGGTCCGCAGGGCCCCGACATTATGAGGTAAATTTTCTTACCTCAGACCCAAACATGGTGGGCCTGAGGTGGTATAAACCCTCCATCTGTGAAAGTCCTTCCCTGGGCAACTCTATTTCAAATGTATTTACCTTTCTTTGTTGATTTATATATACTTTAACCGTGTTAACGGCTATCTTTATCTGTATATAGGCCTATATACTCGCTCACGGCTGGTTACTCATAATTTTCTAGGCGGTAATATCTAGGCCTACAGTCCAAGGTCCCCGCCTGGGGGGCCGATGCCCCCGACGAGGGAGAAGATTTCCCCGACGAGAGCAAAGTGAGCGTGGTCGAGCGTCGCTTATAATGTTTCGAAAGTGGTCTAGGGGGAGATGCCCCGAAAATTTGACAATTTAGGAGTTTTAAAGCCTTATTTAATTGAGCCTACTAATATGTACAATATATGCATTATGCATGTTTCTTTTTCCCCGACGAATTGTAGTTTTTCTCCCTGACCGGGGGGGGGTGAGTCTCTCTTCTATATATAAGATGGGTA